TAACAAATGCTCAAGTTTAATGAACAGAGACAGTGTTAACCTTTCAGTAAAATTGTGTTGATGTGATGTGGAAAGATGTTGTGTGTATGGTTATCACCACTGAAAGTTAATGGGACATTTCACAGTATCTCTGTAGCTGCTGTAATTCTTCTCCACTTTCTGATTGTAGAATTAAGAGTCTGTCTTGTCTTAGGCAGGAAGAAAGCCCAGCATTCCTAGAAACTCTTTAGGGAGTGATGCCCCATCCCTGGAAGTGTCCAAGGTCAAGTTGGACAGGGCTTGGAGCAGCCTGGTCTAGTGGAAGCTCTGCCCATGGCAGGGGTGGAGCTGGATGGGCTCTAAGGTCTCTTCCATCCCAGGCCAGTCTGTGACTCCATGGCTGTTCCTGGAGCTGGAGGTTCAGCTCAGTGGAGCACAGTGCTGTGTTTGGGGGGTGTGGGCTGTTCCAGCCTGTGGGGCACACAAGGAACATGTGGGTGTAACTGTGGATGACTGTTCCCCGTACAGATCCTGTCCCTGTTGGACCTGCTCCGATACTGTGTCAGTGTGTGCAACCAGATCGCTGCCCACCTGCACATCCACGTGTTCCGCATCAAGGGCTGCCCCACGCACTCCAACCACCACTAGGGATGGGAGCTGCCACGGGGGAATGGAGGAGGAGGAGTTGGGTTTCCACAGGAATGGATGAAGACTTGTAGGAGACTAAGGCTAAAAAGCAGATAAGAACAAAGTAATTTATAATAATCAATGTTGTATAACTTTTCTTCTTCGTTATCAGTAACACTCCTTAACTAGTCTCCTGCCTGAGAGAGTGAATTCCAAGTACACCCTAGTCAACTCTCCATGTAGTCAACTTTGTTGGTTCCAAGCCTGGGAAAGCATGCAGGAAGTAAATGCTCTGTCTTTGTAATTACCTTGATTACAAATTAATCTCTATATGGTGAATGGATCCCCCCACCAACTGAAGTTTCTAATGTAGTATAATTACAGCTGCAATCTGACTTGCTTTTAATTTTAATATTTCATCATCTCTTAGTGAAATACTTGTTTAGTGTCCACTTGAAATTTATTTACTAAAGACCTGAGCTGGTAAAAACCCAGAGATATCTCACTAAGTTGTGTGGCTGCAGCAGCTGCCAGGTGGGAGCCAAGCTGGGGTGGTTTGTGCTTGTGACAAAGCGGTTTCATGCTGAACAGGGTCCTGCGAGCCAAGGGGTACCCGGCATGCAAAATAGTGTGGTATCTTTGTCAATTAATTTTATTTTTTTAAATAAACATTATCTAAAAAGACAACTTATTTCTCAATTTTCTTCAGTGGAAAAGACTATAAGAAAAAAAATTTACTGTTTACTTTTTTATGTATAAAACTTAAGCAAAATTTCCTTTCTGCTCTTAATAAATAAGAATTTTTGAGAGCAACAGTTGTCTTGAGATGTATGTGTTGCTCTGTCCTACTAAGACTTGTGAATGACAAACCTGCCTGTGGTTTACAGAGTAGCTTTCCAGTGCTTTTATATGAATCATGTTTTCATTCCAGGATCTTTGAGAGCTTTACCTGCTCTAGAGTGTAGTAAGTTTGGGTTTCTTTTTTCTGTCATTGTTTTAATACTGTTTTAGCTGTGGTGAACCAAGATTAATGGAGGGTTTAATTAATTGCATGTTAATGAAGTTCACCACAGGCCCTGGCACGGAGGGCAGTTTCAGCCCCTGAGCAAAGGGGCTGCAGTGCTGAGCAGGGAGTGTCTGTGGGCAGGGTCTGCCTCGGATGGGGGAAGCTGCTGGGACAGAGCTGGAATGCTGGGATCCCACCTTGGAAATCCCAGCCCTCGAGCCATGGAGCATCTCCCTGAAGGTGGGAAGGGAATTCTCTGTGCTGGGAGCCCAGGCCAAGGCAGTGCCTGTGGACAGCGACATGGCTCTGAAGGGGTTAAACACAGCTCATGGTCAGAAAATAAAGGAACTAAAAAACCTCACACCTCAGTAAATCAAAACCTCCCTCAACTCCTGGAAGCACTGACGTGCATTTCCTGTGATACCCCAGTGATCAGAAAATGTGCTCAGGAAGTGCAGAGAGAGCTCGGTTCTCGCAGTGCCTGGGGAGGTTTGGAGCCCACGTTCCCTCTCCCTGGGCAGAGCTCAGTGTCTGGCTGCTGTGGACTGAGGGACTGGGCTTGCTTGTGTCCTGCAGGGCCAGGACTGAAGGGGACGTGCAGGAAGGTGACTCTGCTTCAGTGCTTGCAGTGTTTGTAGGGAGAGACCGAGCTGGCCCTGCTGGGCTGTGCTGGGAAGCAGAAGTGCCGAGTCCTTGGGCTCAGCCTTGGCACAAGGAAGTGCCCAGTTTTGTGTCTTCTGGGCTTGGAAGAGTCTTGGCTCCTTCCTTTGGGGTGGCACGGTGTCAGCAAGCGAGCCAGAGCTCTTGTGTCAGCCTGGGGGCACTGGGGGGATCAGGAACCTGCTCAGGATGAGGAGGAGGCTCCTGTAAGGATTTGCCACTCCAGCTTTGAATCTTGTGAGCAGCAGTTTGATGGCAGGCACAGCTGAGGGTTCTCTGGGGACCTGGCTGTGTGGCCTGGCTGGAACCAGAGAGGGGGGATTGATTCCTGCACCCTGATACACCTGAGGCAGCTCCCAGGTGTCCTGGAGCTCTGCTCCGAGTGCCTTGGTGCCAGGAGTATCTCCATGAATGACGTGACAGCTCTAGAATGACATTTTTAGATACAAATGGAATTCAGGGAGCTCATTAATTGGATTTTAGCTGCAATGAACTGGGGAAAGGGTCGATCTGGACAATGTGGCCTCTGCTACTGTCCTTCAAGGGAAGCAGGTAAAAGTCTGCAAGGGAATAGCCTGGAAGGGTTTGAACATGCACTTTACAAACCACGTGTTTCCTTTCATCAGCATGAAGTGGGTGCAGAGCTGTTGCTTGGAAAGTGTGAGTGGTTTCCACAAATCAGAATCAGCCTTTGACCAAACACCTCTGTGCCCACTCACCCATGTAAACAAGGAAGATTCCTGCTTTCAGTCCTCAGGGGTTTAAGATTAGGCTGCTCCAAATAATTTGTTAATAATACTTGAGACTGGAGAAGAACCAAAGCCTTTAAAAGGCTGTGCAGGACCAGATTTCCCTGTGCAAAACTAAAGCCTGTGGCTGTTCAGGAAATGCAACAGGACACCTTTTTCTGAGCTTTTCATTCCCTGGAAGTTTGGATGCCCCCAGCCAAGAAAAAAAACTCCATTTCTCTGTTGATGTAGTTTCAGTGTTATCAGGGAGCAGTCACTGCTGGCAATCCAAGCTCTCTGAAGTACTGCTGTGGCTCTGGGTGTGTTGACAGATAATGGAATAAATGACCTTTCCACCTGCCTTGTTTGTGCCATGGGTCACGCTGGATGTGCTTGTGGGGTTGAGAAGGGGGACAGGGGCTTTGTGGCCTCAGCCTGATCTCCTGATGGGCCCTTTCACTTTCTGTTGTGTTGAGAAGACACTCAGGAGGGAGAACTGCAGTAGCAGTAGCACCTGGGACTGAGAACATGCCCTGCTAAAAAAAATACAGTTCTGCTCTGCAGGTTTTCCTCTGTTTGTAAAGAGAAGCTGGAAATTTCCACTGGGTGTTGTGTTGGCTCTTTCAGAACTGCTGAAAGAGTTCCCTTACTCTGATAAGGGGTTTAACACAGGAAAGGGGCAGGGCAGGACACCTCAGGGCCTCTTTCTGTGTCATGAAGCGTCAGCTTTGTTTCAAAGCACTTTTTACCTCCTCTTCACATCCCACCCAGCTTGCCTCAGGTACCTCCAGTGCTGCTGTGGCCTCGCTGAGAGCGTGGAATGGAGCACTGCAGAGGAGTTGAATCATTGCAGCAGTTCAGAGTTCATGGCCAGCTGGGCTGGAGTGGGGTGGGAGCAGGGGCTGGTCCTGCCCTGGAGCTGTGGAAGCACTGGGCTGTCACCCCTGTGCTGGCTTGGGCAGGGTGAACCTTCCCAGGACTGCCTGCTGGCACTGAGGCTGCTGGCAGAGGGTGACACATACCAGAGCATGAAATTATCTTCCCCAGAGCAGCTGCAGGGCAGGGATTGAGTCCCAAATCAGCAGCAGGGGCTGAGCTGCCTGCCGCTGGGCCCCGAGTTCCTCGGATGGTGTGAGTTGGCCAGTGTTCTGCTGGGAACTGTGTTAACAATTTCACAGAATAAATGAGCTCTTTCCAAAGCAGGGAAACATTTCTTGGCGCCATTTGATTTGCTGTTGTAGGCTTGGGTCAAGTGTTGGGCAAATCTGAAGCAGGAAGAAGGATTTAAAAATACCCTGTGGGTTATGCTGATGTGTTGCAATGTGAGCCAGCCCCGGTGTCCCTGCTCCCAGTGTCTCCCCAGCACTGCCCACCCTCTGGGCATTAGAGGCACTCAACCCCCTTTGGGTATTAAAGCCACAACTTAACAAATACCTGTAGGAAAAATGAGAGTGACTTTTTACACAAGGAAACAGTGACAAGACGAGGGGGAATGGATTGAAACTAAAACAGGAGATTTTTAGATGGGATATTAGGAAGAAACTCTTCCCTGTGAGGGTGCTGAGGCCCTGGCACAGGTTGAGAAGCTGTGGCTGCCCCTGGATCCCTGGAAGTGTCCAAGGCCAGGCTGGATGGGGCTTGGAGCGACCTGGGACAGAGGAAGATGTCCCTGCCCACGGCAGGGGCTGGAGCTGGGTGATCATGAACATCCCTTCCATCCCAAACCAGTCTGAGATTCCATGATTCCAGGATGTTTTTGATATTTTGATGCCTGGTGGGTACCAAGTGATGCGACAGCTCGGCTCAAACATCCCAGAGAGGAGAATGAAGCTCTGCCTTTGTCCCCAGCCTTTGCTGGGAGAAGTTCCTGGCTTGGGTTTTTGTGGGTGGGACCAGTCAGATCTGCAGCCCCAGCCCAGCTTCCCTGCTGCAGTATTTATTTCCTGGGTGAGTGTATTCAAAAAGGAGGAGAACCATCACTTGGCTTTAATCTGCTGCTGGCATCACATTCCAGAGAGGAACTGCAAGGTTTTAAGAGAAGATGGCACCAGGACCAGACCCAAGAGGATGGTGACACATTTTACTCTGGGATGGAACAAATCCTCCCTCCCTCCCCATAGCTGTTGATCGGCTGTTTCCCCCTTGACACCCCACCACCGTGTTGCCTTCACAGTTTGCTCCAGCACAAATAAATAACCTGCTGGAAATGAGTATTTTTGTTTCCTTAGCCAAACTCTGCTCTGTGTGGCACCAGTGATGCAGCAGCTGCAAGAGAGGAAACCACTGCCCCCCCTCCACCTGCTCCTGCTGGTGTTTAACAATGGCTCAATAAAACAATATAAAACAGTTGTTAATAACAAAACCTCAGGAATTGTGCAATGGGATGTTCCTTATTTACACACCCCTGGTTTGTTTTAATGAGAAGTAACGCTATTTCCTACTCATTCCTTTTTTTCCCCCTTCTAATAATCACTCTAAACCCCTGCTGTCCTGAGCCAGCTCTGGCTGCCCTCCCTCTGCGTGAGGTGCTGGGGGAACTGTGAAGGGCCAAGCACTGGGAGTCACAGTCTGTTCCTGGAGCAACCACGACTGGGAAAGAAATCCCAGCCTGGCACTAGTTCTGTGCAGAGTTTTCCAGTTCAGTGATGCCCTGAGGAAGAAAGGGTGGAACTGGTGCTCAGTGGGGCTGCCCAGGCAGTGCAGGAGGCCCAGCTGGGCAGGAACAGTGTCCAGTGTGGTGCTGCTGGCAGGGACGTGTCAGTCCCAGTCCTGCTCCTCTGCTCCCGGGCTGCACCTCAGGAGTCCCTTGGGTGCTTCTTCTGTTCGTGGTAATCTTTTATTTTCTGCTGGAAATACGCTGTGGAGGAGAAAACGTCATGGGAGAGTGCTGGTGTTTGGAATGGGGGATACAGAACAGCCTGAATCCTGGGAAGTGTTTATGTCCCAAACCAAGCTGGGTGATGGACACCCGGAGAGGACCCAGGGGAAATGTGGAAATGAAGTGTCCAAGGCAGGTTGGGCAGGGCTTGGAGCAGCCTGGGATAGTGGAAGGTGTCCCTGCCCATGGCAGGGGGTGAAATGAGATGCACTTTAAAGGTCCCTCCAACCCAATTTGCTGGAATCCTGGGATTCCACAAGTCCATGAAATGGGAGCGCTTGCAATGCCACCCATCCCTCTCATCCGAAACAGCCTTTATTGTGCTGGGTTAGCCAGAGGTTTTAACCCATGTGTTCACTCCTGTTCAGTTTTGTGTTTCCCACCAGCAAGGAAGGGAGAAAGCAGCAGACCCAGCAAAAAGCCAGAATGGTGATGTAGACTGGGGATACAATGGGAAAGCAGGGATAGTGCCATCCCTCATCCCTCCCCAGGACTGCCCTGAGGTCTCACATCAAAGGGCAGAGAAGCAGCCAGCAGGGTTCCACACAGCTCAGCCAGAAATGGGACCATTACCTTCCTGTGGGATCCTGCTCTTCTCTGCCTCCTCAATAAACAGGGAAAACATGTTGGTCTTCACAAACTTCTTCAGGAATCTGCGGCAGCTCTTGGAGGGAGTGGCCTTGCAGAAGGCTCGTTCCTGGAAGCTGCCGGAGCCGCTCCTGCCCCACTTGATGTGGGAGCTGTAGTGCCCGAGCAGCCGCACGAAGAAGTGCACGAAGGCTTCTGACACCAGGGCATTCAGCTGCTCCGAGGCTGGAAGGGGAACACGAGAGGGGGAGATGGGACCTCCGAACACAGCATGGGCTTGTTTTAACCTGCTCTGTCTTTGCACCCCAAGGAATTGCTTAGAGCCTCTGCCACTGACCAAAGATCCCACTGATCTTGCTGAGGGAGCCCTGGCTTTCCAGGGTATTGCTTTCCAGGGTGGCAGCATCTTAACGTTCCAATATTCTAATTCTAGTATTAGATAGATATTAGCAAATATTAGCAAAAGTCCATTTTGCCAGCAGAATTATCTGTTCCTGCTCTTGTGTTTCAGAGGGCAAAGGGAAAGCCAAGGGATTACCCCAGTAAATAGGGGGAGAAACATTCCAGACCAGGTGACTTCAGTAAAATCCCTTGGCTGAAGTCTCTAGCCTTGGGGAGGGCAGACTGGGGCTGTTTTACCATGCCAGACGTCCTTACTGTGCACGTTGTTGTTGTTGTTGTGCCTGTTCAGAGACGTCAGCATCTCGTTCTGCAGCTTCCCAGGCAGGATCTCCTCCTCATCTCCCACCTGGAAGGCAACGGGGCCGTGAAGCACCGGAGGGAATCCAGCTCGGGGGGCCACGTGCTGGGGCAGCCCATGAGTGGGGCTTTCAAAGCTCATTCATTAATCATCCTCACAGTGTCCTGCAGAGATGTGGGTGTGGGATGTGCAGTGCATGGACCCTGCTGTTGTAGCTCACAGGCCAGGTGCGGTGGCTGTAGACATCCTCACGTGGATGTTCCCCCTGGGAGGGTGCCACTGAAATAGCTATGCCCCAAAATCATACAACCACAAAATCCCAGATGGGTTTGGGTTAGAAGGGACCTTAAAGCTCATCCCATTCCACCTCCTGCCATGGGCAGGGACACCTTCTACTAGCCCAGGTTTCTCCAAGCCCTGTCCAGCCTGGCCTTGGACATTTCCACGGATCCAGGGGCAGCCGCAGCTTCTCTGGGCAGCCTGTGCCAGGGCATCACCTCCCCCACAGGGAGGAATTCCTTCCCAATATCCCATCTAACCCTGCCCTCTGGCAGTTTGAAGCCATATAAAAATGTGGAAGCTGCCAGGTAGCTGACACCAAAGGAGAAAAGGCCCTTCCTGGGGTTATCCAGGCCACCCCCAGCCCCACACCCTCACAGGGAGGACCTACCGCCCGGATGATCTTCCCTTCACAGAGATCAACTATCAGAGCCTGAAAGAAAGCAGGGAGTGACCAGGTTTAGTCCTGCCAAGACATCTGGACTTCCTCCCACCCGTTTTGGGATGGGACTGGTGTCACCAGCCCACGAGGGTGACAGGAGAGGGATCAGCTCCTCTCTGCAGGAGGGACATGGGCAGGGGAACCAGGGCATTCCCCACAAGAACAACTTTTGCTGCAGGTTTGGTGGCTTGTCCCCACACAGCCTTCCTTTGCTTCAAGACTGGGATGACCCAAACAGCAGCTCCTGGAGCCACAGGGGCAGGCCAGCTCCCAGGGACGTGCGGAGGCATCGCCCCAGGTGCCAACAGGAGGGGACGTGGGGGACACCCTAATTTCCCTGGGTGGGAAAAGGGCACAGTCAGAGCCTCCGGCCCCAGGGCCAAGCCAGACCTGGGGACAAGGATTAACTGGTGGCTCAGTGCAGCTGCCCTCCCTGGGGACAAGGATTAACTGATGGCTCAGTGCAGCTGCCCTCCCCCCCATGAAATACCTCCTCCATTGGCTGCTCCAGGACCCGCTGCAGGTGCCGCATCTGGATGCCAACCATGAAGGGTGTGGGGCAGCACACGGTGTCCAGCAGGCACTCGGGGAGCACGGGGATGTAGGTGTGAGCCCAGGTGAAGGGGTACAGGAGAGCAGCCACGGCGTGAATGCACTGGGACAGGACACTGTGGGACAGGCAGCCAGCGGGAGTGTCACGGCGGGGAGGAGGACACATCCCACTCCAAGCTCTTGTGTGCCACTCCAGGGGCATTTTATGGGCATTTTTATAATAAAGAGATCAGGACTCACCTCAGCTCCTCAGCCAGGAAAATGAGCCGTCGCTCCAGGGTGGCAGAGGCGAAGATGTGCAAGATGAGGTGAGGGCTGAGTCGCTGGAGCAGAGCCTGGAACTCCACGTGCTCCAGGTGGGCATCCACAGGCCGTGTGAGCTCGATGAGCTGCCAAGGAAGAGCCACACAACCCCAGCTTAGGAGGGGCAGCGCTCCTCCCATCCTGCCCTGGCTCCCTGAGAAGGTGATTTGGAAGCAATTAATGCTTTCAATTAATGACCCAGCATTTGCAGCATCTTCACTGTGTCCATGTGCAAGGGACAAACCCCATCTCGTCCTGCTGGGAGATTCACCCTGCGCAGTGCTGGCAGCTCAGGGAAGCCATCAGTGATGTGCACTGTGGGGCTCTTTATTTGGGCACTGGATTTTTAACCCAAATGCTCCTTTTCTCCAGCTCCCACGTCGCTGGCAGGGGGTGGCAGGGACATGTCCCATCTCAGTGTCTGACAGGTCACCCGTGAGCTGCCAGGAAAGAGAGGAGTGGGGTGGGCATGACTTCTACAAATGCCAAAAAACCTTCCTCTGAAGCCTCTCTGTCAGGGTAAGCCTGGCAATTCCTGGCTAAGATGTCCCAAAAGTGAGAGACTAACAGATATTTGCAGGTGGGCTGGATTTGCCCTCAAGTCTCCCAGTCCCGTCAGTCCCCGTGGCAGGCAGACATGGTGAGTACTGAAGGGTTAACAGGGTTGTTCATGACACAGTCCTGGCCCCTCTCCCCATCCTCCAGTAGGAAAATTCCCTTCTCCATCTGCCTTTCCACCAAAGCAGCATCTTCCCAGCATCAGGCTTGGCTGGGCTCCACAGCCCCTTTTCAGCACAAGTCCTGTCTCATCCCCAGCTCTCAGCCCAAGCAGAACCCAGGATTTATTTCCCCTCCATTCCTGGTCTCAGTGATCTCCTTGCCTTGCTGCAGACCCTGCCTGGAGCCCCAGAGTGCAGCTCTTTCGAAGAACATCCTCATTCCTCCTTGCTCTGGCAGCCCCGGCCGTGCTTCCAACCATGGCCCTGGGACAGAACATTGAGCAACCTGCAAAGTCTTGCACAAGCTCCCTGATGAAATCACTCAAATCACCAGCTGCTGAACTGCCCTAGAGAGGAGGGATCCTGCTCTCAGGCCCTCCCTGGCAGGGCACAGTCAGCATTGAGGATATTTTGCCCAGTGCCAGAATGTATCTTCCCCATTTTTCCAGCTTGGCTTTGCCACAAGAGAAAGAAAAAGCGAATTACAAGGCTGTGCCCATGTGGGTCTGGGCTGTGTGTGGGCACGATGAGATCTTCTCATCCATGCCTGGATCAGATATTTTCTCCACAGGAAAAGACTGGGCTTGTCACACACCTGCAGCTGCCTGCCCGGCTAAACCAGGCAGGAATCAACTGGGAGCTGGGTACAGTGGTATGGAGAAGAGAATAATCATGGAATCATGGAATCAGCAGGGTTGAAAAAGCCCTCTAAGATCATCAACCCCACACTCACCACTAACCCCCATCCCCAAGTGCCCAAGCCACGTTCATGTGTTTTTTAAACACTTTTAGGGATGGTGATTCCACCGCTGTGCTGCACAGGCTGTGCCACCTTTTTTGGGAAGAAGCTTGCAGCCTGTGACAGCCCTGGCAGCACTGTGCTCCCCAGCCTGCTGGAGGAGGTGATGCTGGCTCAGGAGCAGCTCCCAGCCCCTGGCACAAGATCCCACTCTGGCATCAGGGCCAGGCATGTCCCAGCATGGAGAGGATGTGGAGAGGTTTTTGTGTGGCAGCTCCAGCTCCAGGCTGGGGGAGCTGCAGAGGATGCAAAGATGGGGCAGCATCCCCTGGGGATGGGCTCCATCCTCATCCTCACCGCTCTGTCCTGGATCAGGAGGGAGGTAACACCCACACTGCCAAGGGAAGAGGCCCCTGGCGCCTGCCCCTGCCTGCCCTGCTGCGGTGAGCACCCCTGGGTGCTGCACGTGTGGAGGATGCTCCCAGATGCAGCCTGGGCTCCTGATGTTGCAGCAGTCCAGGAGGTGCCCCCGAGTCCCCCACCAACCTCAGTGCCCGACTCGGGGATGAAGCTTTTGACTGTGACAGTTTTCCCTGGAGCTGGAAAGGGCGATTCCCGAAGGCCCTGCATGAAGGGGTAGATCACTGCCATGGAGATCTGGCGCCTCTTCTCCACCTCGTCCAGGATCTGGGTGAGAAAGGTGTGAGCCAGGAATCCCCAGCAGACAAAGGAGAATCTCCAGGGCCACCACTGGGCCAGAGCCACCACGTCCCTACCTTGGAGAAGAGCCCAAAGCAGCCCAGGCAGCTGATGATGCAGAAAACCTCAGGGAGCCGGACACCACGCCCAGATGGCTGGAAGAGTGTAGGAAAAGGATTTGAGCATCTCCCAGCCCCCTGCAACAGCTCCATACTCTCCAAAGGGATCCCCACTTGCTCCCCTCAAATTCCCAGTCACTCACTGGGGGATTTTCAAAGCTAGGACCAAGGCCAAGGATGCAGCTGATGTTGGAAAAGCAGAGGGAGCCCAGAGACAGTGATTTGAGTGTCTAAGCTGTTAATTATTTTGGTGCAAAGTCCTTTGCCATATTTCCAAACTCTCCTCCCACCCAGACATTCTCCAAGACATCCTGCCCCACCATCCTTGGGGTTAATCCTGCTACAACAGGGGCCATGGGAATGAGTCCTCTGGCTTTTTTTTCCCTTTCCAAGTGGACTGTCCTGGGTCTGTTTGCTTCCTGCACTTTCAACCCTCCAGACATTCAGCTCCCAGGATGGAGGGGTGGTGGATCCAGCAATTCCCCAGGCTGTGGCACAGGGATGTCCTCCTGGATTTATGTCCCTGAGCAGCCAGGGAAGGCCATTGCACCTCAGCGCCCCTGAGCTGGTCAAAGCCCTGAGCTGAGAAACAGCCATTGCTCAGGTGCAGTTTTTGGGGATGGGGCTGACAGCTCCCAGCTCTCTGGCACCTGGATGGCTGCACTGACATCCCCATCCTGACCCCAAGTGGGATTTGCAGCCATCCTGCCACTGCAGACAAGGGACAGGAGCCAGGGAAGCTGTGGAAGCCAGTGGGGAATTACAGAACTGTTCAGTTTGGAAAAGCCCTCCAAGATCTCAAAGGCCAAAAGTCAGCCCAGAGCCACCACATTCACCCCTAAACTCTGTCCCCAAGTGCCACATCCACAGGCTTTGTCAACACTCAGTTTTCTCCATCCAACACCCGAGTGATGCTTCAGCAAAGAGATTTAACAACCCCCTTCAGGATTTTAAACCCTCTGGCTGCTTCTCATCACTTTCACTTCTGAGGCACATCCCCAGGAGCTGAACTCTGGGCATGGCAGGGGTGATGTGTCCCCCTGTGAGGAGGGGTCACCCCTGCTGGGTGTGGGTGAGGAGGGCTCACCAGCAGCCGCCTGCAGTAGCCGATCTTCCTGCTGCCATCCACGTTTGTCAGGACAAAAGAAAAGGTTTCACTGCAAGGAGAGAAAACGGGGCTGGAATGGACTGGGCTGAGCTGAGCTGGTCCTTCCAGCTCTCACGAGTCCATCAGGGTGAGGACCCCAGCCCAGACCCTCCGTGGGGCAGTACCTGCTGAACTCAGTGACAGGGACCCAGTTGTTGCCATCAGGGAAGCAGAAGAGGGGGATGGCTTGGAGGAGACGTTCCTCCTCCTCCTTCTGGCCCTTCAGCAAGTTCTCACGCTGGAAGGAAGCGATGCCAAGAGTCAGGGAGATGGAGAGTTCCCATTGTCACCAGGGATGGGGTGGGATTGGTGAAATGGGGTCTGTCTCAAAGCCACCCCCAGCTCTGAATGATGCACAAGCACCTCCCAAAAATCCAGACTTTGACTTTCACCCCATGGACAGTGAGGCAAAGCAGAAAGACCCTCTGAAAACTGGGATTTCTTCCTGTGCCACTCCCTGAGGTGTGATTTCCCCACTGTGGTCTCCCTTTTTGGGACAGGAGGCCAGGGACAAACTCCTGGGAGTTTGCTCCTGGGGTTTGGGGCTGTGACTCAAGGCCATGGGGCACTTTTCTCCTTTTACAGCTTTAATGATGGGGAAGGAACAACATCCCTTTCTCTTCTAAATGTGGAATTCATTTTATCAGAAACACAGGACTAAGTACCTTTGGGAACTGGTAGGTTATCTTGGGTTCATAGTGTCCATCTGGCATCTTCTTCAGCGACACCACCACCAGGTACTCGAAGAAGAACTGTCCAGCAGAGTAGAAGAGCGAGCTCCGCTCTCCCAGCTTCCCCTGTGGTACCTGGGGGGGGGCGTTTTCTGCAGCAGAGGCCCCATCTTTTCCTTCTGAAACCAAAAAGATAAAAAGAAAAATCAGATCAGAGTGCAATGGGGGGTGTGAGGTGACCTGAGGGCAAGGGAGGAGCTGCAGAGTTACGTGTGAAATGGCTGAAGTGGCTGGAGGGAACCAGGTCCTGGTGCTCAGGAATTTTGGTCCCCAAAAATGAACAGCAGGGGACATGAAAAGGAAAGAGAAATGCCTTTTATGAGTCTTTTAGGGAAAATCTTAAGACAGCCCCAGCCTTCCTTTGCCCCAGCCCAGTGAGGGCAGAAGGATGCCCAGAGCAAAGCAGGCACATGGAATGAAGGAGAGCAGATGGACTCTGCATTAAACATCTGCATGGAGGTGTGGGAATGTGTTTATAGCAGTTAATTTTATTCCCTTAGGGGAAGTAAACAGCGAAAAACCAGCCAAGATCTTGTTTGAGCACCTCCTAAAGCTCCAGTCAGACGAATCCCAACCTCTCCCTGCCGAATGTCCTGGGAACTGCTGATTGCAAATGAGCTACTCAAGGGTTTTCCCTAAACCACAGCTCCCAAAGCAAAGCAGTTCCTGGAGATTACATCCCAGTTCTTGTTGGGCTGGTTGGGGAGCCAAGCTGGGAAGCATCAGCTGTCACACCCTGAACAGCCAGGAACAGGAGGGGAAATAGCCCCATCCAGCATCTCCACGGGCCCTGGAATGGCCACAGCGGGACAGTGAGATCCAAGGGCTGGAAAGGAGTTAAATGCCAGACAGAGATTGCAGCCAGGCCATGCCACAGCTCTCCCCTCTCCCAGACACCACTTGTGCCTGCCTTTATACCCTTGTTCTTGTCACATCTTGTCCCAGCTCTGATTATGGTGGGGAGCTGGAGCAGAACAGTTGAGCTGTTCTTTTAGGAATAGCAAGGAGAGGATGTATGTGGCTGGATGAGATTACTGCCTCTTGCAATTTGTGCCCAGATCCCAGAGTTTATCCCTGGGCTCTTCTGGTTGTGCCACAGCTGGGTTAGGGCAAGGCATGGCTGTGATCAGCTACTCCCATTATCCTTCTCCTTGTGTGGCATCCTCCTCCAAAAACAGTGCTGGTGGACACGCTGCCTACATGTTCCTCCAGCTCCAGAGCTACCACCAGTCTAAAAACACCTCTCCAGCCTTTGTTCCAGGTCACTGGGAGCTGATGGGAGCAGAAGGCTCATAGGAAGAGGTGACACTCGTGGTCCCATCACAGGATGTTCCTTCCCAGGGGCCAGGAATGCCTTTCCCAGCTCGGGGTGGGGAGATGCTCAAAGAAACCCCTCTGTGCACCCTGGGGCTGCCCCACCTCCACATGCAAAGTTTTCCTCTTTGGCAAGGCGAAATTTATCCCCAAGAGGTCTCTTTGCAGCAGGTGAAGGACAAGAGCTGGCTGAGGATACCTCTGGTTTATCCTCATTGGGGATCATCCTGGACCTGCCCAGTGGGGTGCTCCAGGCCAGGGAAAAGGTTGACAAGATGTGCATTGCTTCTTCTGCTCTTCTTGGGATGCTCCAGCAGTGGCTTTGATCTAGTCCCACCTCAGACCCAGGCAGGAGGCTGTTGTTGTTGTTGTTCCCCAGGGAACAAGGCTGGGCCACGGGAGGGCTGCTGGTGTCCCCCATCCACACTGGGCACTGGCAGCGGTTGTTTTCCCATGACCAGGGCAAGATGAAAGTGCAGTTAAATCCTGCCCATCCAGTTCCACTCTGCATTTCCGAGAACACCAGGTGTGCCTTCCAGCAAGGACTGGATTTGCATTTTGTCCATGGGGTTTGCAAGCAAACAAGCCAAACCTGCTGCTCTGGAGAGCCCGGTCACAGCAGGCTGCAGCTCTGCCTCCTGCAGCGTGCATCAGTGACGGGTCTGGCTGCAAAGAGCCCAAACCCCTCCAAGACCACAATTCCCCATCCCTGGGCTGGGAGATGAGCTCCAGGGATGGATGGGGTGAACGGTCAGGCAGGCTCAGTGTGGGGTCAGAGATCCCAGCGCTGCCCCAGAGCAGAGGGGCTCACAGTGCCTCGTCCCCCGGGAACACAAACCTGGGTGACAAGAGCCAGAGACTCTGCCTGGCTCAGGAAGATCCGGGGAGCACCCCCAGCCCCCCAGCAGTGGGAACATTCCCTGCGAGGAGGGGAAGGAGGCGGTGGCCAGGGGGCTCTCGGAGCTCCTGGATGGAAAGCGGCTGCAGATGATGTGGATCTTCCATCCACCCTCCCATCCACCGGGCACGGAGAGGGCAAAGGCTGCTGCGGCCTTTTCTTATCTCCGAGGGCTGTGCTCAGCCCCTCTGCCTGTGGCACAACCGCTTTCCCTCCTCCCGGAAAACTCCCGAGCTCGGTGTGCCGGAGTTTCCCGGCCTGGTCTGCGGGGAAGCTCAGCTTCCCGAGCTGCCCACCTGCCCCAGAGGAGGGGAAATGTCTTTGGCTTTATCGCACCTCTTCTGCTGAGCTGGGAACATGGAGCTCACAGAGCCAGCACAAAACAGACGGGGAAGGGAGCGCAGAAAGCCTCTTAAGCAATAAACTGCTCCAGGCAGCTTTGTTCTGGCAGCCAGAAAACCCTGCCGATTCGGTACCTCGGAAAAGGTAACAAATCCCAAAGGACCGATTTCTGCACCTCCTTCTGAAGGCTCTGCAACACCCAACTGTCTTGGGGGTCTCCCTCGGGGGTCCCGCCACGGATTATCCCCACGGGTGTCCCAGAGCCGGCTTGCCATTGTTCAGTGGGGATGTGGGGAGAGAGGGGATCTGTGGGGTGAGCTCAGGGATCTGTGGGGTGGGCTCAGGGATC